TAACTGGGGCCGCGCCTCCAACATGCAGCAAGGCCACCTTCATGTTGTTTAGGTTAAAAAAGCATGACAGCAAAAGGTCTGCCAAGCCTCCTGACTCCGACTGGGGTCTCTGGCTCCTCAGCAGCTGCCCAGAGCCTGGCACCTGCCTTCTGCCTGGTGTGCTTGCCTCCCTGCCCCCAGCTGACTGGGGCCTCTACATCCAGACCCATGCACAGAGCTGTCTGCTCTGCATCCTCTCCTCCTGCCCAGGCCAGGCCCCCTCCAGCCAGTCCCCTCCTCCCACCCAGCCACAGAGACATCTGCCCTCCCTCTCCGCCTGCCTCTGCCGCCTCCTCCTCAGGGAGGTGCACCCAGCATGGGGGCTCTACTCCCCACCTGAGTGGACGGAGGTCCTCTGCAGTTCCCAGGGCATCCCCCAGTGACGGATCCCCTACAACAGGGTGCCAGGCCCAGCCCAGCCAGCACCCTGGGGGACCCCTCTCAGTCCTCCCCAGCCCAGAGCTTGCACCGCCTGGCCTATGACAGGAGAGCTGTCAATGCAGCCGCATACCTCTCCTTCCAGCCACCAGAGCCTTCCCAGGCTTTGAGGCAGCTGGCCCTGCCCACCCCGTCCCCAGGGCTGGACACGGGTCTGCTGGAGTGGCCGCAGAGTGGCCAGGGCATTTGAAATGGCTGTTCCTCCCCGCCCCGCCCTGCCCCGTAGGGCTCACCGCAGCTTTGGCTTGGGGGTGCTAAGGACGCTGTCGTCGTCTTCCATGTCGGGGCCGCTGTCGCTGGGGTGCTCCATGTCCAGCGTGTCATACAGGAGGTCCAGGTCCTCCTCCGCTTCGGGGATGTGCTCCGCAGGGTCCTGCTCCGAGTCCAGGACCTGCATGGGTGCCAGGCAAGCATGAGGACCAGGCAGGAGTTCCCTGCAGTGGCCATGCTGCCCCATTGGGGGCACCCGAGACCCCAGAGTCTGCAGGAACAATAGGAGGCGGACGCCCGGCCACCAAACCCCACTGCTCAGCACGGCTGTAGTCCAGCTTCTGTCTTGGAGCTTGGGATGATCACCGAGGCCCCCAGGTACCGGTGCGTGTGGTGTTACTCCACCTTGCCTGGGCTGGTAGTCATCCGGGCCACCAGGGTGCACGGAGGGCTTGCGTGCAGGCAGGTGAGCTCTGACGGGTGTGGGCCGCTGTGCAGCCACCACCACAACCAAGATACAAACTGCTCCCCACACCCAGGAGGCTCCCCTTTGCCCTCCTCTAGTGTGTCCCCTCCTTCAGCCCCAGGCCCCACGGATCTTACTCTGTCCCTGTACGTTCTGCCCCTTCCCGAGTGCTACCTAAGAGGGATCACGCTGCCTGCAGCTCTGAGGGTGGTGGGGGGCATCATCCACCCAGTGTGGCACACTTCATGTTCCTCTGTGTCTCAAATCTCACCTTGAATCGTAACCCCCATAAGCCCCATGTGCCAAGGGTGGGACGGGTGGAGGTGACTGATCCTGGGGGTGTTTCCTCCACGGTGTTCTCATAATGAGCGCGTCTTATGAGATCTGATGGTTTTATAAATGTCTCGCATTTCCCCTGCTGGCACCCACTCCGACCTGCTGCCCCGTAAATAAGGTGCCTGCTTCACCTTCTGCCATGATTGAAAGCTTCCTGAGGCCTCCCCAGCCATGCTGAACTGAGTCAACTAAACCTCTTTCCTTTATAAACTTCCTCAGATGGTTCTGCAGTGCACCACTGAGTGGATGGACCCCAGTCTAACGGATCACCAGCTGACGGGTGTTATGACCGTCACAGATGAAGCTGCTGTGAACGTCTGTGGGTCCATGCATGTGTGCGTTCACCTCCCTGAAGTCAACACTGAAGAATGGGGGTGCTGGGTGTCTGGCAACTGCTTCCTGTGGCTGCCACGCCACCTTACATTCCCCCAGCAGTGTGTGGGCTCCCCTGTTATACTCATCCTGTTGTATTCCATTTGTTCCAGCCATCCTAGTGGGGATCAAGCAGTGTCTCATTGTGGCTTGGTTTACATTTGCCTAATGACCAGTGATAATGATCATGATGATCACGTACTTATTGGCTACTTGTATGTCTTTGAAAAAATTGATTCAGAAAGATCCCTATCCTTTTTTTTTGGAGATGGAGTCTCGCACTGTCTGTCGATAGTGCAGTGCTGGAGTGCAGTGGTGCGATCTTGGCTCACTGTAAGCTCCGCCTCCTGGGTTTATACCATTCTCCGGCCTCAGCCTCCTGAGTAGCTGGGACTACAGGCGTCCGCCACCATGCCTGGCTAATTTTTTGTATTTTTAGTAGAGACAGGGTTTCACCATGTTAGCCAGGATGGTCTCGATCTCTTGATCTTGTGATCCACCTGCCTCAGCCTCCCAAAGTGCTGGAATTACAGGCTTGAGCCACTGCGCCCGGCCCCCTGCCCATTTTTTAATTGGACAATTCACTCTTCTTTGTTTTTGAGAAAGGGTCTTGCTTTGTTGCCCAGGCTAGAGTGCAGTGGCACGATCATAGTTCACTGTAGCCTCGACCTCCTGGGCTCAAGTGATCCTCCCACATCAGCCCCCAAAGTGCTGGAATTATAGGTGTGAGCCACTGTGCCTGGTTCTGACAAGTGATAATCACTTTATTAAAATAGTTGGCTTAAGCATCCGCAATGGTGATGTCAACCACAGCTCGCAGCTCAATTCCAACGGAGCAATCAGCTTCACAATCCAGGATGGACCAGGCAGGTCCACGAGCCGCTTATGGATTCTCGTCTGGAAGTGATCCTGTGTCTGAGAACCTTCACAAGGTGTTTTTCTCTTAGTGATTCTCAAAGTCTTGGCAGGCATCAGAGCTGGTCCTCTCACTTTGAGATTCTTTTTCTCCGTGCCCCTGATAAGCCAGCACACACCTTCAGGAATTTTACATTGCAGCTGGTCAGGGTAATTCTAATTTAAGGAATCACCCCACCGGCTCCAGAGGTGTCCTTCTGGTGTCTTTAAAAGCCATGGCTATGAGGCGGCTTCCTGGTCGACTTCTCGGCACAAGCAGACAGCAGTGAGTCAGGGCAGGAGTGGGCGGGCCCTAGCTCTGTGGCACCTGAGATTGCATCGTTTTCAAAGCAATGGACAATTCAGCTTTTAACTGGATTGTTTGTGTCTTTATTTTTCAGTTATAAGCATTCTTTATGTGTTCTAGATTCACGCCCCTTATCACAAACATGATTTGCAAAAAATATTCTTCTGTTCTACTGTTTCGCTTTCTTGATGGACTGTTTGGAGCACAAAAGTGTAAAATGTTGCTGTGGTCCAGAAAATCTTACCTTCTGTCGCCTGTGCTTTTGGTGTCACATCTAAGAAACCCCTGCCTAACCCAAGGTCATAAGATTGGCCCATTTTCTCCTAAGAGTTTTATCATCTTAGCTCACAGATGCAGGTATCTGATCAATTTCAAGATTGTTTGTTTGATTGTTTTTCTTTTGAGATGGAGTCTCACTCTGTCGCCCAGGCTGGAGTGCAATGGTGTGATCTTGGCTCACTGCAACCTCTGCCTCCCGGGTTCAAGCGTTTCTCCCACCTCAGGCTCCCAGGTAGCTGGGAATATAGGCACCTGCCATGATATGATGCCTGGCTAATTGTTTTTGTATTTTTAGTAGAGACAGGATTTCACCATGTTGGCCAAGCTGGTTTCAAACTCCTGACCTCAAGTGATCCACCTGCCTCAGCCATCCAAAGTGCTGGGATTACAGGTGTGAGCCACTGTACCCAGCTGATGCATTTTGAGTTAATTCTTTAATATAGTGTGAGGTAGGGGTCCAAATTCCTTTCGTTTGAGACAGGGTCTCACTCTGGTTGCCCAGGCTGGAGTGCAATGGCATGATCTTAGCTCACTGCAGCTTCCACCTCCTGGACTCAGGTGATTCTCCCACCTCAGCCTTCCGAGTAGCTGGGATTACAGGCACATACCACCATGCCTGGCCAATTTTTTGTATTTTTAGTAGAGATGGGGTTTCACTATGTGGACTTATGCAATCTGCCTGCCTCAGCCTCCCAGAGTGCTGGGATTACAGGCATGAGCCACCACAGCTGGCTGAAATTCCTTCTTGTGCACGTGGATATCCAGTGGTCCTAGCACCTTTCTTGAAGACTATTCTTCCCCCATAGATATCTTGACATCCTTGTTCACCATCATTTGCCCATAAATGGAAGGGTTCACTTGTGGACTATCACCTCCATTCCACTGATCTCTATGCCTGTCCCTGGGCCAGCCCCGCACAGTCTGGATTACTACTGTGGTTTTGTAGTATGTTTTGAAATTGGGAAGTATAAATCTTTTTTCTTCAAGACTGTTCTGTCTGCCCTGAGTCCCTTGCATTTACATAAAAATTTTAGATGGTCAATTTCTACAAAAACACAGCTGGAATCTGATAGGCACTGCGTTGAAGTTGTACATCAATTTAGGGAGTATTGCCACCTTAACAAGACTAAGTTTTCCAATTCATGAACATTTGACATCTTTCCACTTATTTATATCTTCTTTCTTTAAAAAATGTTTCATAGTTTCACTGTATGAGTCTTACTCATTTTAAAAATCAGGTTGCTTTTCCTCCTGGGTTTGGAGAGTTTTTAATATATCTATTGGATACAAATCTTTACCAGGTATGTTATTTGCAAATATCTTCTGTCAATCTGTGGCTTATCCTTTTTTTTTTTTTTTTTTTGAGATGGAGTCTCATTCTGTCGCCCAGGCTGGAGTGCAGTGGCGCGATCTCAGCTCACTGCAAGCTCTGCATTCTCCTGCCTCAGCCTCCTGAGTAGCTGGGACTACAGGTGCCCGCCACCACGGCCAGCTAATTTTTCTGGATTTTTAGACGGGATTTCACCACGTTAGCCAGGATGGTCTCGATCTCCTGACCTCATGATCCACCCACCTCGGCCTCCCAAAGTGCTGGGATTACAGGCGTGTGCCACCACGCCCAGCCAGCTTTTCATTCTTTTAACAGTATCTTTCAGAAAGCAAATTTCTACTTTTGTTTATTGTGTTACAAAATATAAAACATAATATTTTCCATTTTTTCTATTTTTAGGTGTATAATTCAGTGGCATTAGTGCAGGATTCATATTTTTTAAGGCTTAGAATCTATGTAATTTAAATTTTAGGCTTTTACATTTAGGAACATGATCCAGTCAAGCTGAATTCTGCACATGGTGTGCACTGTCAAGCGTCAGTTTTTTTGTGAAAAGATACTTTCTCCGAGGAACTTGGCACCCTTGTTGAAAATCAAGTGACTCTCCAGGTGTGCCACCTTTTACAATGAAAAATACAGAAGGCAGCCCTCAGCGGAAGCTTTCCCTGTGAGCTGAAGCTGAGGGCTGCAGGGAACAGACTTCACTCTGGTTCATCCTCACAGGACGGGTCCTAAGCAGAGCGCTGCTCTCCTCCTCACCAGACCCACTGTGTGGCACCTGGGCACAGGGCAGCCTGGATGCCGGTGCTCTGTGGTCAGCCTGGGGGCTGTGAATGTTTATACCTCCAAAATTCCTATGCTGAAACCTGACCACCAAGGTGCTAGAATTAGCAGGCGGGGCCTCCACCAGGTGGTTAGGGCCCGAGAGCTCTGCCCTGCTGAGCGGGCTCGGCGCCCTGGTGAGGGACACCAGGTGGTTAGGGCCCGAGAGCTCTGCCCTGCTGAATGGGTTCGGCGCCCTGGTGAGGGACACCAGGTGGTTAGGGCCCGAGCTCTGCCCTGCTAAATGGGCTCGGCGCCCTGGTGAGGGAGGTTTGAGGGAGTTTGTCAGTCCCGTCCACCACACAAGACACTAAAGTGCCCTCTATGGGAAACAGGCCCTCAGACACCAAACTACTGGCACTTTGAACTTGGACTCACAGCCTCCAAAACTGTGAGAAATACATTTTGGTTGTTTATAAATTTCCCAGTCTAAAGTATTTTGTTACAGCAGCATGAACAATCTCAGATGGCTGTAATCCAGGCAGGCGACCTCGTCTCACTGTGCATCTCCTGCCCAATGAGGGTTGCTGTGAAGTCCTGGGCAGGGGGCAGTGCCAGGCGTGATGCTCCCAGTGGCCAAGACACAGGTTCGGAGCTGCAGTGGAGATGGTCCGGTCTTTGCAGGAAAGGGATGGATGGAAAATAAGGAAAGAAATTCCATCGCTCCATTAAAGTACTGTGTCGACATGTGTGAATTTCACATAAAACTGCGCAATTATCCCTATGAAAATGATGTCCTCTCCCTGAATGGTGTCTGTGATGTTGGCCCATCTTTTCACAGTTTGGGTTGTGAGTCTCGGAACCATAATCTGTGTAAGTGAAATGCATTCTGGGACTCAGTTCAGTTGCCCACGTGAGTGCAGAATCCCACGGTCAAGATTCAACCAAGAATACCCACCCCTGAACCCAAAGGCGCTCGACAGGGCTCAAGGAAGCCCCAGGCCAGGGAGCCGACTTGGCCAAGTCCCATCGTCAGCTGGACTTGGGAATGTTCCAATCCAAGATGCAAACCAAAAGATACAGGGGCCCAAGGACCACCCCAGTAGTGGAGCTGCCCTTCCTCTGCAGCCAGTTGGTGATGTTACACTGTTCTCAGAAATGCTGCCTGCCCCACCGGGCCACAAATCACCTGTTTCGGCACTTGCACTTGACAGCCTCGCTGAGTGTGTGCCCCCGAGGCTGATCCAGGTGCATCCCGAGTATGTTAGGACACAGCGCCATCTACAGGCAGCGTGCTCTCAGGCCGACAGGCGACAACACTGCTTCAGGGCTGAAATGCTTAAACGCCACCTCTTCACTTCCGGTCCTGAACCCAGGCACGTTTTTCTTCTGACATTAAAGAAACAACAAAGGCTGGACGCGGTGGCTCACGCCTGTAATCCCAGCACTTTGGGAGGCCGAGGCAAGCAGATCACTTGAGGCCAGGAGTTCAAGACCAGCCTGGCCAACAGGGTGAAACCCTGTTGAACCCAGGAGGCAGAGGTTGCAGTGAGTCGAGATTTGCATGTTTTTTTTTGTTTTGTTTCGTTTTGTTTTTTTTGAGACAGAGTCTCACTGTGTCGCCCAGGCTGGAGTACAGTGGCGCGATCTCGGCTCACTGCAAGCTCCGCCTCCCAGGTTCACTCCATTCTCCTGCCTCAGCCTCCCGAGTAGCTGGGACTACAGGCACCCGCCATCACGCCCGGCTAATTGTATTTTTAGTAGAGACGGGGTTTCACCGTGTTAGCCAGATGGTCTCGATCTCCTGACCTCATGATCCGCCCGCCTTGGCCTCCCAAAGTGCTGGGATTACAGGCGTGAGCCACTGCACCCGGCCGAGTGTTTTTTTTTCTTTTTGAGACAGGGTCTCGCTCTGTTGCCCAGGCTGAAGTGCAGTGGCTTGATCTCCACTCACTGCAGCCTTGGCCTACCAGGTTTCCTCCCAAATAGCTGGGACTATAGGTGCACACCACCACCCACAGCTAATTTTCGTATTTTACTGTAGAGACAGGGTTTCGCTATGTTGCCCAGTCGGGTCTCAAACTCCTGGGCTCAAGTGATCTGCCCGCCTTGGCCTCCCAAAATGCTGGGATTACAGGTGTGAGCCACTGAGTACACCTATGTTTTTCTTTTCAGTATGAAAATTATGCAAGTTCATTGTATAAAATTCCGAGATTAGAGAAAAGGTAAAAGATGAACATTGAAAACCCATGGACTGTCAATAGTGGGGGGCTGTCAGGTGGGGAGGAGTCCATGGGAACTCTGTACTTTCTGCTCAATTTTGCTGTAAACCTAAAACTGCTCTAAAAGCTAAAGTCTATTTATAAAAAAACAAACACACAAACTAATGGTTACGCCCCCTGAAAATGACTTCCCAGCTTCCAGTGTATTCACGACTCGTACTTCAGCAGAGACCCGGCGGGCGACCTGGAACCTGGGAGGCAGTGCCGCTGTCCCTGCACCTCACGGTGATACTGGCCGGGCAGGCGACCTGGAGCCTGGGAGGCAGTGCCGCTATCCCTGCACCTCACGGTGATACTGGCCGGGCGGGTGACCTGGAGCCTGGGAGGTAGTGCCGCTGTCCCTGCACCTCACGGTGATACTGGCCGGCCGTGCAGACAGTGAGCGGCAGAACCAGATGTGGCCCCGAGACAGACTCCAGAGGCCTCCTCCCGACCAGGCGCTGCTGTAGGCGTGGGGGCTGTGAGCAGAAGGCGCGGTGCACTCACCTCATCGGACACTTTGAACCTCCGCAGCAGCGCCACCACTTTCTGCTTGAAATTTTGTTGCTGCAAGACAAGCGGTGTAGAGTCAGACCTGCTGCCAGAGCCGCAGATCCGCCACTGGAGCCACTTCCTCAGGCCGCAGGGAGGCCGCACCCAGGCCCGCCGTGGGAGGGCAGCAAGGCCTCAGCACCAGCAGTGCTGATGGATTCGCACGTAGCTCCCAGAAGCCTCCCAACAGGCCTGAGGTCTGACACTTCCATTCCTGGCCAAGGGGGGCCGGGGAGGCGTGTGCAAACTCCATGGTTCTTCCAGAAACCTCTGCAGCCCTCCCAGGCTCACGGGGCCCTTCCTTCAGCACCCCCTCCCAGGAAAGTCCCTGGCCAACTCCAGAAGGAAGGTGCTCAGCACCCATGTGGGGTGGGCAGGTGGGCGAGTGTGGGGTAGTGCGTGCTCCAAGAGCCTGAGCCCCATGGGCGCCTCGTGCCACCCTGGACTGCAGAACCTCAGCTCCAGCCACTGGGCGAGTGGGACCCTCAGCCCCCATCTCGGGGGCCAACCCTACAAAGGTAGCCCACGCCCTCCCTCCACAGCAGCTGGGCCCAAGGGGGCCCTGGAATGGAGGCACAAGCTGGTGTTCTGCACAGTGGGGGCAGATCTCCAGGCCAGCAAGACACAGCTTCACCACTCTGGGGCAGCTCGCCCATCCCCGGCACTGTCTGCCCACAGTACCCCCTTGAATGCTGCCAGAGGCGGCGGCGGTGTCTGGGCTGGCCTGTGCCCACATCCCTTGTCAGCACCAGGCACAGGGCTCCCCCGCCACCTGTGCTGGCCTCCCTGGAACCGTGCCTGTCCTTGGGGTGTCCAGGCACCAGGTGGTGGGCCCTCTGTGCCGGTGCTGGACATGGCCTCTGAGGAAAGAGCTGCCCGAGCTTTCCTCATGGAAAAAATGCCTGACAGCCCCACCAAGCTCCTGGGGACCGTAGGGCCAGGTAGGCCAGATCCCAAACAAAAGCGAGGGAACCAGCCCACTCAGGTGTATGTGGGCACCTGACGGGACGAAGGGGAGGATGGCCTCCCTGGGGCTCTCCAGCCTCCCAGCCTTGCTCAGGGCCCACTGGGCCTAGTGGCCACACAAGGCTGAAGTCAGGAGATGTGGTGGGGCGGGGGAGAGAGTGGCACCCAGGAGACTGGCAACCAGGGGGTCTGCCACGGGACATGCTGCTGTGACCTGGGGTGAGATCTCACTTCCCACGCCCGTGCCCCCCACCACGCCCGGGCTCCTAGCGTCCTCCCCCACCCTCGCCTTCCCCAGCATTCAAAGAAGCAGTCTCCACCAACCCTGGTCATGGACGTCGTTCTTACAATCGATCTCCGCTGCTTCTTCGGCTTCCCGACATCGAAGTCGTCCTCGTCCAAGTCCTGCAGAGACACACGCAGTGGCTGAGGCCATGGCAGCCTGCACGGCGCGGGAAGGACCCTGCCAGCCTCAGCGTGGGCGATGGGAGAGGCCCAGCACTGAGAGCCAACCTGCTTCCCAAGACTCTCAGAGCCACCTGCACACAAACTCGAGCCCCTGGGGTCGGGAGACGAGAGACGGGCGGCCAACCAGGGGCCGGGCCTGTGGCTCACCCACCCTCACGAGGCCCTGGTGACGGCTGGTGAGGACCCCACAGACCCCAGGACACCCGGTGTGAGCCGGGAGAGGGCGCGGAGCCCCGGCCCCAGGTCACCTGCCCCTGCACAGCGTCGTCACTAGCCTCCTGCTCGGAGGAGAAGCTCTCATACTCCTCCTCAGAGTAGTTATCTGCGGAATGAACAGACAGAAGGGAGGGTGCCGTGAGATTCCACCCAGGAAACCAGGCGGTGGCCACCCCCCGGCTTCCCTGGACACAGAGGTGGGGCAGCGAGGAGGTGGATCCATGCAGGACAGAGGGGCTCCAGACACAGGTGCTGTGGCCCCGAGCCCCCCGAGTCCACTGGCAACAGTCTAGGTCGGGGTTGGCAGGAAGTGGGGAGGGGCAGGGAGGGCAAAGGGGGCCACATGAACTGCTCCAGCCCCCACGGCCGCTCCTACTGGCTGGCATTTCAGCCTGGATTTGCGCCAACTGGGTCCCCCCTGCCTGAGGAGTAGGGGAGGCGCTGGTGACCCTACTGGGGTGGCGGCAGCCGTGGCACCTGCCTATGCCGGGCCCTGCACCCAGACCAGCAAGGGCATCACAGTGCGACCCCACACCTCTTTTTGAGGACACTCAAGACTCAGGCCTCTCGACCAAGGAGCTGCAGCCAGGGGGGCAGAGCAGGGACCTGTGGCAGCCCGGGCCCCATACCAGCGCACGCCTCTGCGGTGGCTTCCAAACAGGAGAGCAACTGACACGTGCTCCAGACCCCCGACGCCTTAAGCCAAGCTGGATGGTTTCTGCCACCCGATGTGCCGTGGCTGGGAGATGGCCTCCCCACGGCAGGGGCAGGAGCAGGCTGGCACCGGACTCACCCGTGGACTTGGCCTTGGGGCCGGCCTGCATGGCGCTGTCCTCATGGTCAATGGGCTGGCTGGACAGGGAGGCGATCCAGATCTCGGCTGCCTTGACGGGGGCCTCCTTGATGCTGCTGCAGAGGCTCAGCACCTGGCCGCCTTCAGACGGGTGCTGCATCACCTGTAGGTCAGGGGCACGGTTCTAGAAAGCGCCACGACGGGAAGGAGCCCGGTGCCCTGGTGTGTGGGCTGGGGTTTCTGAAGGGCTTTCTCTCTCAGTGACAGCAAGGGCAGGCCTCGGCAGGGCAGCCACAGGGCAGGGAGCATACAGTGGACAGGAAACGTGGCCACCGGGGAGAGGGGACGGATACGAGAGGTGGACACAGGAGCCAGGTGGACAGACGAGGGGAACATGGGAGTTCTTGTGAACAGGCCATAAGGAGAGGGCATTGGGCTGTGCTGGGGAGGCCAGTGCCAGGCACGGCCATGAGGGACTGAGATGGACAGAGAAAGGTGTCTGCGGCCCTCCTGATCTCAGGCACACCTGCTGTCCACACAAAGCCACCCAGGAAGATCCTGGGCCCCCTGCTTCAACTCTGCCTCCACCCCTCCACCCACTCAAGACCTCAGCAGCAGCAAAACAGTGTGAAACCGGCCACCCAACCCACAGGAGTCAATGCCACAGGAGTCAATGCCCAGGGACCAGTGTCTGTGGGGGACCAAGGAGGAGCAGTCGGTGCACTCTCAGCCAGGCAGGAATCTCCAACAGCAGGAGACACCCACCAGGCCCGGCTCACAGGCCAGGCCAAGCCCCTCTGTTGTGAGAGACTCAAACCAGTGAGTGGCAGAACAAGCCCTGGCCCCTCCTGCAGCCACGACCCATGCCTAGGCATGGCCCCGCCGTGCCCCATGCCAGCCTCAGAACCACACGCCACGATGACAGCTCTCACTCACAGCCTTGGGGCCATCTGTGCTCTAGAAGCCGCCTTTTGGAACTATTGGTTCACATCCAGATGTTAGGATTTTCTAGACCAGATTTATTTATTTATTATTTTTTTGAGACGGAGTCTCACTCTGTGGCCCAGGCTAGAGTACAATGGTGTGATCTTGGCTCACTGCAACCTCCGCCTCCTGGGTTCAAGCGATTCTCCTGCCCCAGCTTCCCAAGTACCTGGGATTGCCGACGTCTGCCAGAACGCCCAGCTAAGTTTTGTATTTTTAGTAGAAACAGGGTTTTACCACGTTGGTCAGGATGGTCTCAAACTCC